CAAAAAGGATTATCCTCTAAGCAAGAACTTTCCATATTCTCTGGAACATCTTCAGACTTCTCATTGTAGGCTTGCCCGAGTCGATATGCGGATGCTCTGCTTAAAAAACCTTAGGAAATTAGACCTCAGTCACAATTGTATAAAAAAGCTTCCAGCTACAATTGGAGACCTCACCCACCTTCAAGAGCTTAACCTTCATGACAATCTCTTGGAGTCATTTGCTGTGTCTTTTTGTCAGTCCACGCTCCAGAAGTCACTTCGGAGTTTGGATCTCAGCAAGAACAAAATCAAGGCACTCCCTGTCGAGTTTTGCCATCTCCAGGAACTTACAAATTTAAACCTTAGTGATAATGAATTGATTCATCTTCCTTTCAAGATAGGACAACTAACAAACCTTCGCTTTCTGTCAGCAGCTCGAAATAAACTTACAAATCTACCTTATGCATTTAAAATGCTATCCCTAGAGTATTTGGATCTTTTTGGAAATACTTTTGAAAAACCAGGAGCACTTCCAATTATAAAGCTTCAAGTACCATTAACTTTACTGGAGTCTTGCGCACAAACCATACTATCCAACAGGTAAGCCTTTGGTCATAAAATATAGGACTTTGGTGGCATCCAAATACTCTGATGAAACTCAGTCTTTTGGGGCTATTTAACTTTTAGATTTTTGGAGAAGTAAGGGAATAATGAGGGCATTTATGATGCTACAGCATTTGGAAGTCAGAGAAACTTGTGGGAGTGAGTGGGCTCTTGCCTTCCATGTTAGTTCCAGGAATTGAACTCGGGTCAACTGAACAAGCACATTCACCCACTGAGCCATCTCACCTGCCCCAACAGTCAAGTCTTGGTTTGTTGTTGTTGGTGTGTGTGCATGTGTGTGTGTGTGTTTTGTTTTATAAATTTATTTTTATTTCATATACAGTGTTCTGTCTGCATGTATGCCTGCAGGCCAGAAGAGGGCACCAGATTTCATTATAGTCAATTGTGAGCCACCACTATGTGGTTGCTGGGAATTGAACTCAGAACCTCTAAAAGAGCAGCCAGTGATCTTAACTGTTGAGTCATCTCACCAGCTCCAGTCAAGTCTTAACTCCTAATGTTAAATAATCCCAGGGTGGTGGCCCACACCTTTACTCCCAGCACTCAGGAGGCTGCCCAGCACTCAGGAGGCCGAGGCAGGAGGATCTCTACAGTCTGATCTACAAAGTGAGTTCCAGGACAGCCACACTGTTACACTGAGAAACCCTGTCTTGAAAAAACAAAAACAACCACCAAAAAAACCTCCTAACATTGTACACAGTCTGACCCCTTACTATAATGGCCTTCATGTTCTTATCTCTTCTTGGAGTCTCATAGCTCATTCTCTTACTTGGGTCTCTACATTCATGTTTTCTAGAAAGATCTTACTTGCCCAGCCTGTTGTGAGTTTTATTCTCTATTTTATTTATATGGCTTAATTATTTGTTGCTATTATAGTATAATAGTCCTTTTTACTTGCCATTTTATGTTTTCTTTAACATTTATTTGCTATCAGTTTCCCCACAAGAATGTAAGATTGGCAAGGGTATGAATTTTTTTTCCTCTATGTCTCCTACTTGTGTATTTAAATGTTTTACCTTTAGGCTGCAGAGATGAAAGGATGGTTCAGTGGTCAGAGAGCACTGACTGCTTTTGCAGAGGTCTCAGGTTTCCAGCACCCAATAGGAAAGCTCATAGTCACCTGTAGCTCTAGTTCCAGAGGATCTGATCCACTGTACACATGCTCGTGAGCATTCATGCACATACACGCATGCACATGTCTCCACGGGCACACATATATTGTAAATTCATATATTCCGGCAAAAACATATACATAAAATAAGTAAATCTTATTTTAAATATGCTATAAATATGCTATTTTAAATATGCTATATTCTTGTCTTATTAGACATCAATAGCTGGATGACTATGTAGCACCATTTCTCAAGATACAGTGCCCTGAACAGATAAAACAGCATCAGGTAGATCAGGTGAGGGAACTTATTAAGAGTTGCAAGTTCTTGGTGTATAACCAAAACCTAATGAATTTTCAGAGTGGGGGCCAGCTCTCTGTTTATCACCCAGAAGAAGTTTGAGGATTCCAATCTAGCACAATGGTGAAGTGTGGTTTGCTAAGCCACTCTTGAATTGGACTACTGGCTTCGCCCATTTGTATGACTTAAGCACATTGGTTAACTTCTTAATCTCATCTGAACTTGGAATAATAACAGCCGCTTTACAGAATTTTGAGGCTAAATGAGCTAATATTATTATCAGAACATTTTGCACATGAGGAACTCAGTAACTAATGGCTCTTTTAAAAACTCTTAACTCTAAACACTAACTGCAGTTGGTTTCATGAGAATGAACTCCATTGAATTGGCTTTTGTTTGATTGGCTCTTGTTTTTTGTTAGGCCTTGAGTTTAGGATCTTTCTCTTCCAGGCTCTAGGGAAATTGAGATTACAGCCTGTCCACCAAGCCTTGCTTTTTAAGATCAGGTCTCTTGCATTCAGGTTGACCTCAGCATGTTTTCCTTAGAGATGCTTCTGTGTGTAGGCCTGTCTGACCTGAGCTCCAATCTGCCTCAGCCTCCAGAGTAATACCTAGGAAAATCTAGCGATGTTTTGTTGTTGTCTTTGTCCTATTTCTTTTTTAGTTTTTTGAGACAGGGTTTCTCTGTGGCTTTGGAGTTTGTCCTGGAACTTGCTCAGTAGACCAGGCTGGCCTTGAACTCACAGAGATCCACCAGCCTCTACCTCCTGAGTGCTGGGACTGAAGGCATGTGCCATCACCACTGGGCTTTCTCCTATTCTTCAGATGGGAAAATAAAATAGTTGTACTGAGTCCTTTTTATTTCATTATAGTGTTCTAATGAAATCCAGAACATAGTAACGTTTGTTTTTCCCCATTAGGATTCCATATGGCCCTCATATCATCCCTTTCCATGTCTGTCGAGATTTGGATACTGCCAAAACCTGTGTTTGTGGAAGATTTTGTCTAGAGTCTTTCATTCAAGGAATTACTACAGTTAACCTACACTCCATTGCCCACACTGTGGTCTTGGTTGATAATGTGGATAGAATGGAAGCTCCTATTATCTCTTACTTTTGTTCTCTAACTTGTTATGTAAATTCCTCTGATATGTTAAAATAATTAGTGGTATAAAAAGAGTTCCTTAAATGTAGATGGTTGAGTATCTGTGATTTAACAGTAACAAAATGGAAATGGAAGCTTTTTGTATGTTTGCAAGGGGAAGAAAATGTATATTAGCATTTTCAACCATTTGACTCTGAATTTAATTAAAGCTGAACTTAATTTTTTGGAATGGATCAATAATCAGCAGTTAAGAACACATACCTAGCTGGGCAGTGGTGATGCACACCTTTAGTCCCAGCCCCAACACTCCAGGATTTCTGTCAGTTTGAGGCCAGCCTGGTCTGAGTTCCAGGACAGGCTCCAAAGAAAGCTAGGGAAGCAGTCTCCAAAAAGAAAAAAAAAAAAAAAAAAAAAAAAAAATACAAAACAAAAAACCCCCACATACCCTCTGACATTCTGTTCCCAGCATTCATATTATGGCTCACAATTGTATGTACTCTAGTTCCAGGGAATTTATTGCCCTCTCTGACCTCAAGTTTGGAGGAAGGCTACTGGAAATAATCCTGCCTAGTGTCGGCATTTTGCTATATGGCTTGGGAAGAATTTCTAGGTCAGTGGTTCTTGTTCTGTGGGACGGCCGTGACCATCTGGGGGTCCAACAACCTTTTCACAGGGGTTGAGTATTAGATACTTACATTATGGTTCACAGCAATAGTAAAATTGCAGTTATGAAGTAGCAATAAAATTTTATGGTTGAGCCCCGCGGTGGTGGCACTCACCTTTAGTCCCAGCACTCCAGAGACAGAGGCAGGCAGATCTCTGAGTTCTAGACCAGTCTGGTCTACAAGGTCTAGTTCCAGGACAGCCTCCAAAACCACAGAAGAAAAAAAAAAAAAAATTATGATTGAGTCACCAAAAGGAGTAACTGTATTAGAGTCAAAGCCTTAGGAAGGTTGAGAACCAGGGCTCTAGATTCTAAGTAATTCATCTTAAAATTCTCTCATTTGAAACTTTTTTCCTAGATTCAAACAATCATCATTATAACTTTTATAGGTACAAGCATGGTGGCTAACCCTTTAAGGAGACAGATATATACAGTCTGATATATATTTCCAGGACAGCAGAGGGTATGTATGGGTCAGTAGGAGAGCACTTATTATAATCAATGCCCTAGGTTTGACTCAGCAGCACCACCACCACCAATAAAAAGCTTTGAGATACATTGTGCCAATTATTTACTTTATTCTAAAGGGTATCTTGTTTATATGTGTCTGTGCATGTGCTTACTGTCAGCAAAGGGTGTTTGTTGAATCTCCTGTGACTATAGATACAATTGTGAGCCACCATGTGGATTCTAGACTCCAATCTGTTACAAGCAGCCAGGACTTAGTTACTGAGCAATTTCTTGAGCTCTAATTGTATCCCCCACCCCCAATAATTCTTTGATTGAGTTCAGGTTTTTATTCTTAGTTATTAACTTTCACTAAGGTAATTTTTTGAATGAGTTATTTAACATGTAACTATCCATGTTTGTCAGTCAACCAAGATCAACAAGTCTGAAAAATAATTAAAACAATTACACATTAGCTTGCAAGCTATTCTGAGAATGATAAAATCTTTACCACCTGTTCTGGGAAATGAATTACACATCCACAATATGTTTGGTGACCATTTAACTTCTTGTGGGATGCCTAACCTGGCATGCAGGAAGCCATGGGTTCAAACCTAGGGAGCACCACAAACATAGGGTATGGTGCAATTCTGTACTCCTAATGCCCTGAGGTAGACGCAGACCATCACTAAACACCACATTTGAAAACAGAAAAGCAAAAAAACACTATAAATATGCGATTCCACTTAGAATCAAATGGCACAAGGCTCAGGTATCAGGAACAATAACTTTATTTTCTAACAAGTCATTTTCCTACTGCTTCAGCATTTTCCTCTAGGAAGACACAAGTTTTAGAACTGGATCACTTGGCCCTTTCTCTTCTTGTCTCCTCCCAGTTCAAAATGCTTGCACCTCTTAATGGCCAGCATCCTCTTCGACCTGCAGTTGGGCTCCACACACTCAAGCCTCAGCACAATCTTCTTTGTGGTTTTGGCCTTCTTTCGGAAAATTGGCTTTGTCTGCCCACCGTAACCACTCTGCTTCCGATCGTAGCGCCGCTTTCCTTGAGCATACAGGGAATCCTTGCCCTTCTTATACTGGGTCACTTTGTGAGGCTGATGCTTGCCACATTTCTTACAGAAAGTCCTTCGGGTTTTAGGTACGTTGACCATCTTTGCAGTGGCGGTATCTGCGCGATGAAAACTGTAATACAGTTTCAGACATTGATTTCAAATCGCTAGAAGTTTTAAAGGATACAATTTCTAGGAATATATAAAAAGCAGTAATAAATGTGTAACCATGTGGGGCAGTGGTGGTGCACGCCTTTAATATCAGCGCTTGGGAGGCAGACTTATGCCTGAGAGTTTGGTCTACAGCGGAACCCGGGAAAGGCAGGGTCCAAAGCTACAGAGAAACCGTCTCGAAACACCAAAATAAAAAATAATGTGTAAACCCACACGAATAAACGGCAGTGCAAGTGCACACCAGTTTGAATACCTCAAGTATGGGCTTGACATGCAGCTCGGTGGTTGAGCACTTGCCTAGCGTACACTTTAATCCCCACCACTGCAAGCCTATGGGAAAACTATAGATTCTGAGACATAAAACTGTTACAAAAGCAGACATGACAACTTAATGTTAAGGGAGGCTGAGGTAGGAGATTGCTAGTTCGAGGTCGGCCTAAGCTCCATAAAGAAACCCTGTCTCCAGAGAAAAAAAGGAAACTGACACTTGGAGTAGCCGATACAGTTAGTCCAAGACAGACGCCGTTAGCGCTAGTAGCAGGCGGCGGCCGAGAAGCCGGCTTCTTTCGGGCTCCATTTTCTGGCTCGGGGCAATCTGTGACTGGCGCAATAAGGGATGCACCAGTTCCTAGGACCCGTCTCATTCCTTCTCCCGCACCACGTCGGGTTTAACCCTCTACTCCTCTAAAGAAAGCACCGTCACCCGCCAGCGGCCCAGAAGGCTGACGCGTCGTTACAGCCTGCGCGCGTGCCGTGCGGCCCAGTTCGCCGCCATGCCGGAGCGCCTCTTCTGGGGGCGCCGCACGGTGCTGACCCACGTCGTGCCGGGCAGCATCTGCCCCACTTCCCGCTCCTCAAAGAGGCCGGCCGCCCCGGCTCCGGAGGAAGCAGTTTGCCGCTTCGCACCACACTTACCGAGAGACCCGGCGTCCGAGACCACCGCCTCCAGCGCACGAGCCGAACAGGAAGAGGCCGGGCCGAGCGGAAGTCGGAACTGAACCTGAGCGACGGGACCATCAGCCAGTAGGCAGCGGCCTCGTCTGGCGTGCCGCCTCCGGACGCTTGTGGGAAGCGCCAACCACCGGCCGGCGGGGCGGGGCGGGGCGGGGCGGGGTGGAGGGTGTGGGCCGCGGGGCCTGGGCGCTCGCAGGCCAGTCGCGGCTTGTCAGGACGGTCGCCGCCGAGCGGGACGCGGCAGCGGCGCTCGGTGTCTGCATCCGGCCATGCGAGCAAGGATGAGAGCGCAGAGGACGCAGGGCCAGGCGCAACGCAGGTAACGGAGCCGGGCTGCGGCGACCGCGGCTGGCTCTCTTCCGGGATCCGGCGTGCTGAATGGGGAGGACCGAGGCGACGCTGAGCCGCGGCTCGTAGCGGCGGGGCGGCTGCTTGAGCTGCAACTGCCAGAGAGGATGTGCGGAGCCCGGGCGGCGCGAGGCAGTTGAGAGCCTTCGGGCCCCAGGACGCCGGGGCCCGGGATGAGTTAGCGAGGGCCACCGCGGGGGCCAGTTCCGAGGGCTGCAGGCCGAGGCGACGGCGCCGCCCGCCTGCCCGCCCCTTCCGTGCAGAGGCCGCCAGCTCCTTTCCGCGCCCGCGCTCCCGGCCCCGGAGACCATGAGGTTCCGCATCTACAAACGGAAGGTGCTAATCCTGACGCTCGTGGTGGCCGCCTGCGGCTTCGTCCTGTGGAGCAGCAATGGGCGACAAAGGAAGAACGACGGCCTCGCCCCGCCGCTGCTGGACGCGGAGCCCCCGCGGGGTGCGGGCCATCTCGCCGTGTCCGTAGGCATCCGCAGGGCTTCCAACGACTCGGCGGCTCCTCCGGTCCCCGCGGCCCCGCGCCCGGAGGTGGACAACCTAACGCTGCGGTACCGGTCCCTGGTGTACCAGCTGAACTTTGACCAGATGCTGAGGAATGTCGATAATGACGGTACCTGGAGCCCCGGAGAACTGGTGCTGGTTGTTCAGGTGCATAACCGGCCCGAATACCTCAAGCTGCTGCTAGACTCGCTTCGGAAAGCCCAGGGCATTAATGAAGTCCTCGTCATCTTTAGCCATGACTTCTGGTCCGCAGAGATCAACCAAATGATAACTAAGGTGAATTTCTGCCCGGTTCTGCAAGTGTTCTTTCCATTCAGCATTCAGCTGTACCCGAGTGAGTTTCCCGGCAGTGACCCCAGAGACTGCCCCAGAGACCTAAAGAAGAACGAAGCTCTGAAGTTGGGGTGCATCAATGCCGAATACCCTGACTCTTTCGGCCATTACAGAGAGGCCAAATTCTCGCAAACCAAACATCATTGGTGGTGGAAGCTGCATTTTGTATGGGAGAGAGTCAAAGTTCTTCAAGATTACACTGGCCTTATACTCTTCCTGGAAGAGGATCACTACTTAGCCCCAGACTTTTACCATGTCTTCAAAAAGATGTGGAAGTTGAAGCAGCAGGAGTGTCCTGAGTGTGATGTCCTCTCCCTTGGGACCTACACTACCAGTCGGAGTTTTTATGGCATTGCTGACAAGGTAGATGTGAAAACTTGGAAATCCACAGAGCACAATATGGGGTTAGCCATGACCCGAGATGCGTATCAGAAGTTGATCGAGTGCACAGACACTTTCTGTACTTACGATGATTATAACTGGGACTGGACTCTTCAATATTTGACTGTATCTTGTCTTCCTGAATTCTGGAAAGTCTTAGTTCCTCAAGCTCCGAGGATTTTTCATGCTGGAGACTGTGGTATGCATCACAAGAAAATATGTAGGCCATCCACCCAGAGTGCCCAGATCGAGTCCTTCTTAGTTAATAACCAACAGTACATGTTTCCAGAAACTATAGTTATTAGTGAGAAGTTTTCTACTGCAGCCATTTCCCCACCCAGGAAAAATGGAGGGTGGGGAGATATTAGGGACCATGAACTCTGTAAAAGTTATAGAAGACTGCAGTGAAAAAAAGAATCACAATTGCAAAAATGACAGTCTTCTGGTTTTTATATTTCTTTCAGTGGAATATACAATTGAATAAAGGGTATAGGAACTGGTTTCTGCTTTAATACACAGATTTTTCTTGTAAAAGGTATCCAAATATGTAGTAATCCTCTTCAGTTATGTCTGATTAAAATTTCAAACTGAAATTTTCATTTTGGGTCTTGGGTTTTAAAATTCAGTTTATCTGCTTAAAGGTAATAATTCGATTATTATTGATTAAAAAGAAATTTTATTTAAATTGCACCTGTTAATCTTTCTATCTAAAACTTTGTATACTTTTCCACTTTCAGAACTTATTTTAAGTACAGCAAGACTTATTTAAAACTGTCACAACAGTAAAAAGTATTACAATTAGACTATTAGAGTATTGCTGGAACAAACCCAGTGTCACTATTGACGTTTATTTGGAGGAGTTGTCTGTCTGGTTTAATCACTGAGAAGTTCCGTTTGTTGAACACCCTGTCAGAAGAGTCATTTCAGTATTAATGATTCCTGTGCTACTGTGTTAAGATTTGCCTGTGCTTTCAGCCTTCATATTACATGACTTATGTTGGAATGTATTTGGTTAATAAGAAAGTTTAAACACTGTTTTCACCTCAATGTAGAAATGCAGTGTTTTTGAATATTTTTTTTTAATTTTAGTGCTGCCAAAATAAAATACTCATGTTTTTCATAAAAAAGTTCCCTAATCATTTTGCCAAATGTTCTGTTTGTACCAGTAAAGGCATTCTAGGAGTTTTGAGCATTATATCTTAATATTTACTAGCTGTACACTGTATGAGTTTAAAATGAAGCTGGCTCATGACAGTGCATTCTCTTAGGAAGCAATAGTTTGGCTTTCAAATTAGCCAGGCATAGCTAATGAATAAGGAAAGCTGCTGAATAAGGGAAATACTGCCTAAATTGTTTCTGAAGGCCAGAAATGATACAAAGTTCAGTCTTGCCAAGGTGCAGCCTGTCTGTGCCAGCTTGACTGAGATGCTTTTAAAAGAACAGGCACAGTAGTAGGAAGCAAGGTTTAGATTACTCATATTTTGCATTACTTTTCTATAATATAATTGTATTCAGCCTTAAGTTACAGAGGTCATTTCTGTGTAAAGATGACTATTGGTCATTTGGACCAAAGCCTCAAAACTTACTGTTTTTATCAGTTTCGTACTGGAAATGTGGTTTTCTGTTACCTTCACATCTCAGTCTGGCACTGTATTGACTTCTTAAAGGTTTTACCATATTTGTTAACGGTGTGTACATCTATGGGTGTACACGTGTGGTACATGCTGAAGGTCAGAGGGTGTTGGTCCCAGGGTCAGGACACCAGGCACTCGTCAGGTACTTTTACCCACTGAGCTGTCTTAGTAACCCTCCCAGTTCTGCCTTTAACTGGGATTACAGAGCCTCATGCATGCAAGGCCAGGGTATACCTCAAGGTATAATTTCAGTACCCAGTACATAGTGCCTCAGTTGTATAGGGAGAAATGTAATCTGACTACTATCTGTCACCAGTTCAAAGGACTAAGGAAGTAGGTGTTTCCAGGAGTGTTCAAAACCTAGTCGTAATTAGAAGCCTTGTCTGAAACAGGAATACTTAGCTCATTCATGCCCTTGGGGCTAGTGATGACATCAGAGATTTTATGTTTTCTTTCATAATGTTCTAAAATACTTTTTGTGGGGGAAACCTAGGGTTTCCTCTACATTTTTTGTTGTTCCTGTTTTTTGTTTTTTTGAGACAGGGTTTCTCTGTATAGCTTTGGAGGCTATCCTGAAACTCACTGTGTGGACCAGGCTGGGCTCGAACTCTGCCTATTGAGCACAGGAATTAAAGGTGTGCACCACCCACTCCTGACTCCTATACCACATTTTAAGAGTTATAAATGGATTCCAAAATAATGGTTTTTCATGTAAAAGACAATTTCTCTGTCAGAACAAATGGCCAGAAGCTTTTTTGTTTTGTTTTAATTTCTGTTCTAGGGATTTTTTAAAGTCATTTTTATGTTTATGGGTATTTTGTCCTGCATGTGGAGCCCAGAGGAGGACATTGGGTCCTCTGGGATTAGAGCTACAGATGGTTGTGAGCTAACATATAGGTGCTAGAAATTGAACCAGGAGCCTCTGGAAGAGCAGCCAGTGTTCTTAACCACTGAGCCGTCTCTCCAGCCTCTCTAAAAACCTTAAATGTGTTATTTAAAACCAAAAGATGGATTTAATACATTAGCTTCTAAGAAATTATGTAAACTTGATTTTGAAAACGATTGCTTAAAAATGTCTAAAGTTTATCCCTGTGTGTTGTTTTGCCTGCATGTATATATGTTCAGCACATGTGTGCCTGGTGCCCACAGAGGTAGAATAGGGCATCAGATCCTCTAAACCTGGAGTTAGGATGGTTGTGAACTCTGATGTGTGTGGGAGGAATCGAACCTCTGTCCTCTGCAAAAGCAAGTGCTCCAGATTTCTCCAGCCTCCAAAGGGTTACTTTTATTTAAAAAAAAAAAAAAAATTGTTCTGAGACAGGGTCTCTCTGTAGCTCTAGCTGCCCTGAGGCACACCTTGTCCTCTAACCTCCATTTTCATAATGTGGTCCCCCACCCACCCTGAGCCAAAATAAAATAAAATGTGGGGTTTTGTTTATTATGTATACAGTCTGGGCCAGAAGAGGGCACCAGATCTCATTAATGATTGTAAGTTACTTTGTGGTTGTTGGGAATTGAAGTAGTCAGTGCTCTCAACCTCTGAGCCATCTCTCCAGTCCATTTTTTAACTGTTTTACTCTCCTTGAGAAAAATATTACTATTAAAAAAAAAATCACAAAGCTTATCACTATAATTAAGGAAACTGTTCAAAAAGTATCTCCTGTTTCTGTTTTGGTTTTTCGAAAGTGTTCTGGAACTCATTCTGTAGAATAGCCTGTCCTCAATTTACAGACTGTCTCTGCCTCATGATTGCAAGGGTTAAAAGTGTGCATCACCACTGCCTCCCAGTTTTGTTTTGAAGACAAGATCTCATGTATGGCTTTTAATTCAATATGTAGCTGGGCCTAACCTGAACTGGCCATGATTTCTTTGCTCAGTGCTCCCAGTTGGGATCATAGGGACCTCCTGGCTGCTATCCTCCCCACCATCATCAACTGTAAATGTTTATTTACACATCTATCTTTAAGTACCCATTTTCTGGTTTTTGGTTTTGAGGCAGGGTTTCACTGTGTAGCCCTGGCTGGCCTGAAAGTCACCAGGTAGGCCTCGAACTTACAGAGGTCTGCCTGCTTCTGCCTTTTTTATAGTTAAAAACACGAAGCTATTTTAGGTCCCAATTTTTATTACTCAACAGTTAAATTTCAAAATTATACACAATTAATCCAAGTCATACAGCAAAGAGTTCTGAAAACTGAATGCACAATGAGTTGTGTGATCTTTAATAATCTGCACACTACCATCCTGCATATTGGTTTCTCTGATGCTCTCAAAGTCAGCTCTGTTTTGAACTACCGTTTTGTCCAGTAATGAAGACAGGTGATCTCCATTTAATTGGTTTTCCTTGGTAATGACTGGCTCTTTTATATTTTCCTTTTCCTCTGCCGAGTAGGTATCACCGTTTTCTTTTATAAACTCAGGATTCGTTTTTGCCTCAGGTTGCTGAGGTTTTCCAGACAGCATAAGAGAAAGATCAGGACAGTTGTGTTGAGGGCTCACAGCTGAGCCACAAGAGTTTGTTTTTAGTGCTTCAACTGCTGCAGATGAATCAGAATCAGTTGTAGAGGTGGTAAAATGTTCTATGTCTCCCTTTTCACTTAGAGGATATCCTTCACTGACTCCTTTTTCCTCTTCTTGAAGCCCATCAGAACTACTACATTCTTGCAACTGTACCAAGAGAAATAGCAAGTTAGTAATTCTTTGAAATAACAGAAATTGAATCATAGTACTCTGAAATCATTTTTAAAAGTTTTATTTTGTGTATGCATGTGTATTCATGCATGATACAGCACACACAGAGAGGTCAGGGAGCATCTTGTAGGAGTTTGTTCTCACCGTCTATCACATAGGTGCTGGGACCAAAGTCCTCAAGCTTGCCAGTGAGTGCCTTTATTGCGTGTGTACACGATCAGGGTACACGGTAAGGGTGTTTCAAAGGAGAAGGACATTTTCTGGAGATTTTCCCCTTTCACCTGTATAATTTCAAATTCAGTTCACCAGGATTGCACAGGAAGCACCTGTATCTACAGAGCCATCTTAACTACAAACTAGCTTCAATTTTCTTTTTCTGTTAATATTTTGAGATAGAGTCTGGCTTGGAACTCAAGAGATCTGCCTGCTTCTGCCTCCCGAGTGCTGGGATTAAGCCACAATGATTTGTGGCTTTAATTTTCTGATTAAATCATTTCAATTAGGGATGGGGAGATGGCTCAGCAGTTAAAAACACTTGGGAGGGCCAGATTCAGTTCCCAGTATTCATATGGCAGGCAGGGAGCTCCCCTCTGGCCTTGGCAGGTACCACATCAAGATACAGACAAAACACCCACCCATATCTCCTCCCTCTCTTCTCCCCACCAACCTCTCTAAGGTTTCTCTATAGATCCCTGGCTGTCCTGGAACTCGCTGAGTCGATCAGGCCTCTGCCTTCCAAGTGCTGAGATTAAAGGCCTGTGCCACCACCTCCACTAGCTAAATTTCAGGCCTTTAATCCCAGCACCTGGGAGGCAGAGGCAGGCAGATCTCCGAGAGGCCAGCCTGGTCTACAAAGTTTCAGGACAGTCAATACTACACAAAGAAACCCTGTCTTGGGGTTGGGGGTTGCTCCTTAAAAAATCCTTTCAATTATTATTCTTATTCATCTCCTTCATGATAAAAGGATCAACCTTTTAAACATGTCCTGCAAATGTCTTTTAAGTCATTACTACAAGGGCATTGTTGAATTTTGTGACTTTCCTTAGTCAGGTCAGGAATACTAGTTCCTAAGTTGTTTTTGTCCATTATTGAAGAAGACCAGCAACATACCAAACTTAAGGTTCAGCAAAAAAAAAAAAAAAAAAAAAAAAAAACCCAAGGTAAATTCTATGATGTAATTTTTATGACTTGTGAGTCTCTATAAATCCAAGGGATCTGATGCTCTCTTCTGACCTCCATGGGCACCAGGAACACATATGGCAAGCAGACAA